CCCCAAAAAAAAAAAAAAAAAAAAAAAAAAAAAAAAAAAAGAAACAAAACAAAAACAAAAAAATCTTTGTGAGAGGGAGGCTGCCGCGTTTTCAAACAAACCGACCCAGGTAGAATCACCTCTGCTTCCTGCACGGGGTGAGTAGAAAAAAAGCCCACTCTGGCTACTCGAGTCTTATCAGCGCTGCAGCTGAAGGCACGGCTTTCGTGGGAAGCGTGGTCCGGGCTGCGGGGATCACCCGTGGGGGCGGCGCCCTGCCCCGTGTCCCTGGGGCGCTACGAGACCCCCGGCGCTTGCCGTGTCCCGCTCCGCTCCGCGGTTCCACCCGTGCTACGGGCTCAGCCGCTGCCCGGCCGGAATACGGGACCCGGGGCCGCAGCGGAGGGTCCGTGCTCTGTTCGGGAAGGTAGACCCGGTGCGGCTCAGTACCGACGCAGCCCCGATTTGTAGCACCTCTCGGGGCGCTTCTCAGCGGAGGTGCGCGGCCGGGGTTGAGCCCCGCTCTGCCCGCCTCCTTCCCGGCTTCCCTGCACTGGGGACGGGCTGAGGCCGGGGCTATTCTGCCCTCGTGTGAAGAAAGCGAGAGCCCTTTCCCCGCCGCCTCTCTGCAGCGGGCCAGGTTACGGGCACCGGCGCCGTGAGCCCTCTCCACTGCGAGCTTCCCTCCTGCTTCCCCTACCCCGAGGGCGACCGCAGGACCGGGCCGGGAGCAGCTCCGCTGGCTCCTTCTGCGCTCACTTTGTCCGGGATGTTCGACTCCTGCCTGCCCCGGGAGCGGCGGAGCGCGGGCTCACCCAAACGCACCGGCAGATTGCGCCGCTCCCCGGGGATCCCCTGATCCTTCTCTCGGAAAGGGCTCTCCGCGCTCCGCTGCTCGCTGCCCGTCCCAGTTACTCGCATCCTCCTCGCTGTGACATTTCTGTGTGTGCCGATAAGCCCTCAGCTCTCCGCTCAACCGCAGCTATAGGGTACAGCTTCATGGGCGTGCTCCTGCGCTTTCAGGTGCTTCTTTCATGTCCCACGAAGGGCTTAATTAGGAGAGGGGAAAGCCTGGCAGCGCCTGCCTGTCCTGGTGTCAAACGTTCCAGAAGCCGCACACTGGGCTGCGCGCTCACCTTTGCCGCTGCTCGGCCCGATCGCCGCTCCCAGCGCTGGGCTGAGCTTCTGCCCTGGTGTTCATCCGAAATCCCCCTTGGTCGGGCTGTCAAAAAAACCCAGATAAGCCCCTCGGATGTCAAATGTCCTTTGCGAGCGAGCGAGCCCTGGTAAGGAGCTACGCGCCCGGCTTAGGAGTGAGGAGAGGAATGCGCCATTTGGCGGAGGTGATGACACAGGCGGCAGCGCTGTTACACCTGCACCGGCCCTCGCCGCGGAAATGCCTGCGAGGGGGAGCGCCGGGAGCAGCATGGGTGGCCGGCAGAAAGAAGTTCGCCCTGGCCCTGGGGAGCCCGGCAGCCCCGTCCTGGCGGCGGGGCACAGCTGGCTCCGGCTGCTCCGCCGCCCTGCGCGGGGTGAGCCACTGGGGGCCGCCCGGGGAGGAGAAACCTGGAGAGGGTCTCTCCTGCGGGCCTCGTCCCTCCGCCGTTTCGTTTGTGTGCCTTGGGGAGGTGCCTGGGGGCGGCGTGCGCTGCTCCGCGGCTGGGTGCGGAAACAGACGGGCCTCCTGTCTGTGACCAAAATCATAGAGCCCGGGTTATGGGCCACGCATTCCTCCGTCGACGGGAGATGAGGGATTCGTTATATGGCCATGGAAAAAGATGTAGAAACGTATTTTAACTGAGGAGTATAATATATATATACACATATATATATATATATGTAAATATAAGAGTTCCCCGAAGGATTCGTTTATTTCTCGGTTAAAATACGTTTCTACATCGTCGTCTGCCTTCACCCCCAATTAGCCTCTCCCGGGGCGGGGAGCGGGGACCCGTGGCCAGGCACACAAACTAGAGATCCGCGCATCAGCCATCGAAGCCCCAGGCGCACCTCGACGAAAGAGGCCCGGCTGCACCGGGCACGCACGTTCGGGTGCTGCCAGTTCTCTGGGCTCATGCTTGGTTACCAAAATTGGTGTATCACGTAAAATCTGCGGGGCGGAGAGCAATGTGTTCACGTTCAAGAAAGGCAGGAGTGAGTCTGAGGGCCGTGAGCTGCCGGCGGAGCTGCGGGAGCCGAGCTGAGCGTGCAGCTGCTCCCAGGGCCGCTTCTGGGCAGCCCGAGCTGCACTTGAGTACGGGAGAAGAGGTCGGGTCCGTGCGGAGCCGTGTCCGCAGCACCGAGCTCACAGCAGTGCCGCACCCCGAGGGCCGAAGGGGGCCAGGCCGGGAGCGCAGGTGGTCCCGGCCCTGCGGAGCTCGGCCGGGCTCTAGCGGCTGCCGGCGGCCGCCTTGTCTGATGGAAGGGCTCGGGGGTCAAACGGGGCCAGTCTGCTCCATTCCCGGTGATAGGACTGAAGGCTCCGTTAAAAATCAGTGCAAAGAGTCCTCTGCCCGTCACTTCGCCCGTGTCTGAGCAGCTCCGTGTTACTGATTTGTTATAATGTTGTTATAATCTTGTGCTCTGGCCAGCTGAGACGGCCTGTCTGCTGTCGGGGAGGCTCTACCTGAAGGCAGGAAAGGGGAAGGAGTTGGGGAATGTCAGTGCTCCAGGAACCGTGCGAAATACGATGAAGCCCTCCAGGGAAACGGTCAGGAAAGCTGCCTGGTGTGTCATCCCCCGCCCCGCCACCCTGCCCTGGCCCTCGAGTCGCCTGTCAGCGCGTACTTTGCGGGGAGAGAGAAGGGGCGACCTGACACCTTTTGCTCTCTTGCCTCCTGCAAATAAGAGCTGCAAGAACCGACTTGCAGGGAGCGGCAACAGCCTCCTTGTGCTCTCCGGGAGCGATCGGTTGGCGGGGCCCGCGGCCAAGACATATAAACGCGGCCGCGTGTGCGGCTGGACGTGTGACAGCCGCCGTGGCGGGGGCGAGCGCCGCGGGCACACCCCCTCGCACCCACCGGGCGGGCAGGGAGCGCAGCGCCGCGGGCCCCACCGGCCTCCGAGGTGGGCGGCAGAGGCTCCCTGAGCACCCCCCGGACACCGCCCCCCGTCTCCCCGCCCCCGGCGGCGCGGCGGGGCCGGGGCGGTTCCGCGCCGTTCCGCGGGGCCACGTCGGGCCGCGTGTGCGCGGGGCTGAGCGCGGCGCCGTGACTGCGGGGTGAACTCGGCCGTGCCCAGCGGCTCGGCCGCGATAGGGGAGCGGGCTCTTGACGAAAGCGGAACTCGGCCGGGCCCATACAAATCAGAAAAGAGCCCGGCCGCCGCGGCAGAGGGGAGCGGAGCCCGCGGGGGCAGGGACGCCGCGGCCGCCGCGCTGCACGGACCAGCGGCGCCGCGAGAGGCGCCTCCCCATCTCCGTCCCGGTCCCGGCTCCGGCCTCGATCTCGGCGAGCGCGGGGCGGGACGGCCGCCGGCGCCGGGCTCCGCGCACCGGGCAGCGCTCGGCACCGCGCGGCGCTGCGCTGGCCGCCCCGGGCGGCGGACGCGGGGCACCATGATGAGCAATTACCCGGACGGCGAGGAAGACACAGTGGCGCTACTGGCTCATGACACCAGCGGCAGCAAGGAGCCGGAGCGAGTCAAGGAGGAGCTGAGCACGGACAAGGGCCCCGAGAAGCCGGACCCCTCGCAGAAGCCCCCCTACTCCTACGTGGCCCTAATCGCCATGGCCATCCGGGAGAGCGCTGAGAAGAGGCTCACGCTGTCTGGAATCTACCAGTACATCATCAGCAAGTTCCCTTTCTACGAGAAGAACAAGAAGGGCTGGCAGAACAGCATCCGCCACAATCTCAGCCTCAACGAGTGCTTCATCAAGGTGCCCCGGGAGGGCGGCGGCGAGCGCAAGGGCAACTACTGGACCCTGGACCCCGCCTGCGAGGACATGTTCGAGAAAGGCAACTACCGCAGGAGACGAAGGATGAAACGGCCTTTCCGACCGCCTCCGACCCACTTCCAGCCTGGCAAGACCCTCTTCAGCCCAGACAGCTATGGCTACCTGTCCCCGCCCAAGTACTTGCAGTCTACCTTCATGAACAACTCGTGGCCGCTGGCGCAGCCCCCCGCGCCCATGCCCTACACCTCCTGCCAGATGTCTGGCGGGAACGTCAGCCCCGTCAATGTGAAAGGACTCTCGGGCCCGGCGTCCTACAGCCCCTACTCGCGGGTGCAGAGCATGGCGCTGCCCAGCATGGTGAACTCCTACAACGGCATGGGCCACCACCACCACCACCCGCACGCCCACCACCCGCAGCAGCTCAGCCCGGCCAGCCCCGCGCCGCCGGCGGCCCCGGCGGCGAACGGAGCCGGCCTCCAGTTTGCCTGCGCCCGTCAGCCCACCGAGCTGTCCATGATGCACTGTTCCTACTGGGAGCACGACAGCAAACACAGCGCCCTACACTCCCGCATAGACATCTAGGGAGGCTCCGGCCGGCCGCCGTCACAGAAATGCACCGGCCCCGCTGCCCCTCTCCCATCCCGCCGCGTTCCCCTGTGCTCTCGTGTCTCTTCTCGTCCCTTAGCTGCAGACTTTCCTCTCTCTCTGCCCAAACTGTCGCAGTGGGTAAATAGCAGCCTCGCCCCGGGTGTAGTGTCAGTGCAAGAGCCGTCCGACCATGAGAAGAAGGCAGTGTAAATGTGGAAGCTTCCCCGCGGGGCTGCGCCGGGCGTCGGCGGCCGGGCCGCCTGTCTCCGAGCGAGTGGAGATTCACCGAGTGTTTCTCTGCTTATGTGTGTGTGTGTGTGTGTGTGTTTGTGAGTTGTTAGTTTTGGTTTGGTTTTGGTTTGTTTGGGGTTTTTTTTGGGGGGGAGGCAGGGGAGCATGTAATTAAAAAATAAGCTGTTTAGCCCTCAAAATTATGCTCCTTTGCAATTCGGCCGTAATCTTTTCGGGCCCGGCCTTGGGGAGAGTAAAGTGGAGCTTGTAAATAGCGGAGGCATTTTCACGCGTGCGGTGCAGGGCTGGCGGGGCCTATACACTACTGTGTGCCCGCGGTGCTAGTCCTCCTCCTTCTCTTCGCGTTTTCTGTCTTCTTCCTCGCTCTGCAAAGCACTGCGCTTCTTCCGAGCTGTGCCTTTTCGTTAAAATAGTACTTAACGTGGGGACTGCTGTAACAGCAGATGTGCGATATTGCTGGTTAACACAAACCAAAAAACAAAACCTGCCAGGGTCACTCCTGAAACGTTTCAGCAGTGGGAAATATATTTTTTAAAGGAGACAATGTCCTCTGAGGTCTTAAAAGTAATTTTATACAAGTCTAAAAAAATATTTTGATGTTATTAAAAAAAAAAAAAGAGACGGTTTCCTGTAAATTAGAATATTTTTCAGTGTGCATATTATTATTAATAATGAAAGTTTAAACTATCTTCGTTTTTTCCCCCAAACCTGGCCCCAAATGGATTTTCCAGTAGGTTCTGCTTTTGAGTGCTTGACCTTTTTCCTAAAAAGTTTTGATCCTTCAATTTTACATAGGGTAATGTGAAAAAAATAGCGTTTATAAAACAGGGGCCAGTTCATAGCGATCCTGTAAATGTTTGTGTAAGCTGATAGATACTGTGGCATAGTACCATTTTGGGACCAACTTTTCTAGAGTGAACTAGCACTTTTATTGTACTTTCTAGCATTGTAAAGTCTCCAATAAATGCCTTTCCTTCTTTCCATATCGTTGTATTTCACTCCGCTCCTCCGTGCTCGGGATCGGTTAGCGGCGGCAGAGAATGGGGCGGGCGCCGTGTACCGGGGCCGCTCGGCGCTGCCCGGCCCGCTCCCGGCGGCGGGCACCGCTCCTGGGGCCGCTCCCGGGGCCGCTCCGCCGCGGGAACAGGCGGCTATGCCCGGACTCTCCATCGGCTCCGTGATGCACCGGCGAGCTGCGCTCCCGCCGAGAGCTCCGGCGGGGCCGCGCCGGCCGCTGCGGGACCGTTTCGGTGGCTCCACAGGGGTGAGCGCGGCCGGGCACGGGAACGCCTCCGCTCCGGGACGCGGCAGCTGCCGGCACCTCGCCCGTGTGCCCAGCCCTCCGGGCAGTGCCTGCGGCTATGCCCGCAGCGGACCCCGGCTCCGCTTTCATTTCTCCCCCGCCTGCTCGGGGCGACGCAGCGCGACTCCGCGTTATCCCGGGCCCGGCCGCGCTGCACAGCGGCCTGCGCCCCATCCGGGCCCCGGCCGGGGACGGAGCCGGGAGCCGCCGGCGGATCCCTCTTTCCTCGCCGTGCCGATGGCTGCGGCAGCGGCGCTCCAGAGGCCTGGGCCTCGCTTAGGAACCTGCCGGCCCACGGGGACAGCGGCCCCTGCGCGGGCGCCTGCGGGTCAGGAGGGGATGGGGCAGGCGGGGTGGCCCTCGTCCAGTGCCGGCCCGGGATGCAGTGGGTCCTCTTAGATGCCGACCTGGGCCAGGCCTGCAGTTCTGCGGCAGGAGTGGGGATGCGGGTGTTCTGCTTCCCGGGCCGCGCGGGCTGCTCCCTGTCCCGGAGAGGGACTGCCAGGGGCGAAAACCAGTGCTGGGGGTGAGCACTCCCCGCCTGTTGCTGGAGGCCTGCAGCGTGACCCGCGGGTCAGCCAGGCCCTTGCCCGGCTGCCTGACGGTCTTCCCTTTTGCTAGGGCCTGCTGCAGCCTCTCTGAACGGGAGGAAGCGGCAGCTTCCAGCCTGGGCACAGAAAGCCGTGGGGGGACGTGGGGACCGGTCGCCTCTCTGCCGCGGCGCCACTCGGCGAGCACGGCCAGGGCAGAAGGGCTCCAGGGGCACCCGCCGGGCCAGCCCGGGCGCCCTGCTGTGCCCCCTGGCCCCGCTGCTTAGGCCCTGTCCCCAGCGGGAGGGCGCTGAGAGCGCTGGTACGGCCGAGGGGCTCCACTCCCGGGCCGACAGGGACGCACAGGGGGTGCAGCGAGGCGGTGGTGCCCCGGCCGCTCCGCGCTGTGCGCAGGGTCTGCGGGCCGAGCGCTGCCCCGGGTGCCGGGAAGGAGAAAGCCTGGCCTTCACACGAACACTGGTGTAACGATGGGGCGAAAGGCCGGAGAGGGGCTGCCAGTGCACATGGGACATGGCCGCAACTCGCGCCTTTGCCACCCGTGCCTCTGCGGGAGCGGAGCGCTGTCCCGTGACTCAGACCTGCCCGCGGCCTTCAGGCGGGAGCAGGTGGTGGAGGGGAGAGGGAGCACCGCTCACAGGCCTCGGGGATCGCAGCTTTGCACCGGAGGGCTCAGGGCCTTGGCTGCTTGTTCCTTATTAAATAGGTACTGCCAGTCCCGCTAATTTCCTCCGCGGTGCGTCGGAAACAAGGGAAACCCCCGCCGCCGGAGGTGGGCATGGGGAGAAGGGAGGGAGGGATTACCGCCCCGGACCCCGCACAGGCCCACCGGCGCCTCCCCGATCTCCTTCCTGGGCTGTGCCGTCGTTCGGCCGGGCTGCAGCGCCCTTGGCAAGCACCCGGGGACTGCTGGGGCTCGGCGGCTTTGGGTGAAGCGATACCTGGCAGTGCCAGGTGCTGCGGGAGAAGGCGGCAGCCCGGGACCGGGCGGGGTCGTGCGGCCTCCGGGTCTACTCCGATTCCCGGGGGTCTTTACTAGTGCTTTATCAGTGTCCGTCTGAGTACACACAGAGAGACAGAGAACCGCGCGTTTGGGAAAGGAGCGGGCCGGCAGGGCCGTGAGGCCGCTCTCCGGGCCGGGCCGGTGCCCAGTCCGTCTGCCGGACTCCTTGTGCACGGGCGAGGCTCCGATCGCCTTCGCCCCGGGCTCCCCTCGCCGCTCCCCGACAGCAGCGCGGCCCCGAGTCAACTACGGCCATTGCGCCTGTAGGATGTTTTCACGATCGTTTTCTGTATTTTATAAACAGAGACTGCACTGAATGTAAACTTCACAGGGAAATCACGGCGAGAACCCTGCCGCCGTCCCGGGCTGGCCTGGCGGCGCTTGCCGGGCACTGTCGGGCTGTGGCTCGGGGCAGGGCTGGTCCTGCCGGCAGCAGCTCGGCCTCTGCCGCTTGCCGGGAGCGGCCGGGCCGCCCGGTCAGTCCTGCCGGCCTGGGGAGGGGGGCGGCCATCACGTCCCTGCTCGCTGCGCTTGCCTGGGCAGCGGGGGCCGGCCCGTGGGGAGCCGCCGCGGACCGCGCCGTGTGATAGTGAACACCCAGGCACCGACACGCAGGGACTAAGTGTCCCATACGAACCCGCTGGGCAGCCTGGCTGATGTGTAGGGTCGGGCCGCATCCCGACAGTGGCACTTGGGACGACAGGGGCTGGGCAGCAGAAGGGGTCTGTTCCGACCCCTCGTGCAGGCAGCTCCGTGGGCACGAACAGCGCCAGGGGTGCTCACGGCGGCTCAGAAGTCCCTCGCTCCGGGCAGCCACGTCAGCCGACCCCGCGGGTCCCACCTGCCCCCGGCCGCGCCGCCGCCCAGCCCCGTCGGCCCCTTTACAAAAGCCGAGCGCCGAGCTCTTGGCAAGAGCTGGGTTTGCGCGTTGTGTAAGGTCTTTCCCCGTTATATAAAGGACGGCAGGGGGAATGCTCCACGGAGCGGGACGCGCTCCCCGGGACAGCACCTTGGCGCGGAGCCTCCTCCGGCCTCGGGGCTGCTCCGGGGGCCAGAGCCGGGCCAGGGGGCCTCGGGGCCGCTGAGCCGCCGCCACTGCCCTTTCGGAACGGCCCCGAGTTTACGCAACGCTGGAGAAAGATGAAAGCAGAAGAGCGAGGGGTGTTTTCTCCCTGCCCGGAGCGGGCGTGGAAGCAGCCTGCCTCGGCCACTGTGGGAGAGGCAGAGCTGCCCGTGCACTTCGGGGGAAGGGCCGGGTTTTCCCCCGACGCTGAGCGGACTCCCACAGCCCTTCTGCTGCCCTGGCACACCGGGGCAGTGCCAACCCGGCGGGATGTTCTGCGGCCGTAGCTTTTTCTTCCTCTCAGGTCCTTTGCGCAGGCCGCAATGGTCCTTTGAACCCCTGGCCAGAGTCAGAGGGTGGCAGAGCCCTCGGCACCCCGGCTGGTCCCCGCCAGCACGGCACGGCACGGCTGCCCTCTGCCTGCGGGCCGGCGGGAGCGCGAGTGCTGAGGGACCCCGGGAGAGCTGCTTCGGCTCCTCTAGTCGTGCCTGGAGCGGGTGGGCGACGGTGGCGGTGGCTGCGGGCAGGGCAGGGCAGAGCCGTGCTCCGTGGGGAGACACACACAGGGCTCTTACCTTGCGCCCTCCCTCCCGCCCCGGCCGGAGCGCCAGGTTAATACCGCCTGATTCCTGGTATTCTTGTCCGTGTTTTAAGTGGTGAAAAAGTCACTTCCAGTCCCATGGTCCGCGTTTCACCCTGAACTCATTGAAAAGAGAGTGCGGGGTCAGGACTGTTTATTATACAACCAATTAAAACAGGAAAATATGCAAAGGCTTCATTCAGCAAGATCCGGCTATTGTTAAGCCGAAAACGATATTTTTGTTT